GGCATCGCCAACCTGGAAGACAATAACTATAATCAAAAATTGAAGTTAATCGCCTCCCTTATAATAGAGAGTTTATTCTTTTGTTCCAATAAATTTGCATAGATGCTGGTCACGTGAGTGAAAATTAACGCTCAATACTGCCTAGCTCTGTTTTTTTCTGCTCTCTATTGTTTTATGTTAAAGTTATTTGAATAACTAGTTGATTAAATGAAATTGAACTTAAAACTTATGAGAGTATTTTTTTATTTGTTTGTTTCTGCTCTATTTTCTTCTCGTTTACCTTTTCAGTGTCATTTGCATAAGCGGTTGTTTTTAAAGCAAAAAAATACGCTTGGCAAATGGCATTAATCAAATTTTACTACCTCAACACTTCTTAAACACTTTTTGAATGATCCAATTTAGTTAAGAAAGTAGATAATTTTTTTTGAATATATCTTAGTCTCAGTATAAACTATGTTGGAAACTACGTTTCTTATCCACCACCTTCACCCACCGGCGACATCTGCTTCATCCTCTATCCGCTTAATCTCTTCCCTCAATTTAGTTAATGGAAGATTTTGTACGGAGCGTATAATCGTTTCTTTATTGCAAAATTTTACCAGTCCAGGTGGAAATATTCAAACAAAAAGATAAATTATTTATAGCACCATTAGTGCCATTTAGTTATCATCAAACAATAAAACAAATAAGTTATCATCATTAGTGCAAAGTAGTGACAAACAATAAGACAAATTGTATATTAACATCATTAGTGAAGAGGAGGACGGATTTAAATGTGCCTTACTCTTTTCTTAGAGATGCTTCTAACATCTTTTTCACGAAACGAGCTAGGGTCCTAGCCGTCAATTTGCTTTGAATCAACATAATTTCTAAATCCCTACCGATGTTTTCAAAGCAGAGAGAAAAATTCGCTTGGTAAATATTTAACATATTTTGGCCTTGCCATCATTGTATCATAACACAAGCATCATCATCTCTCTCTCTCTCTCTATTTCACTAATTCATCGTGGATCTTGCGAAGAAATGCTTGGAACTCAGTTTGCTTTTGGAGTGAAACAACATAAGTGAAATTTGAAAACGTAAGTAGTAGCTCAAACTGTTTTGTCATAGTTTAGTTGGGGATACATTAAGGTACTATAAATACAGGGCCGATGCTTTTGTAAGTTCTTCTGAAGAGAAAGTTCTTTAATTATAACAGTTGTCGTGCATACGAAACAACAAAAAATTGAAAGGAAACTTCAACGTGTTCTAACAAAACTATATATTTTCACAGGCAGAGAACATCTTCAGCACTAGAATGGTCATTGACAGCGAAATCACAGCGTCATTTGGGAATATCTCAACTTCCAAAAGTGCAGTCTACACTTTTACACCAGCGGGACTTACAACAAAACTTGCACTGGTTTTACCGATGCTAGTTGTTGGTGTGGTGGGGTTTATAGGAAATGTCTTAGTCGTCTCCTTTGTGTCCTGGAAAGAAAAAACACTAAGCCGCATCGAAAGAAGCCGCTTTGTAAAAACGTTTAATTTGTTTGTGAGAAGCTTAGCTATTTCTGACATCCTCTCCACTTCAGTGTCACTGCCACTCACCTGCATTCAGATTTGCTTCGATGTTTCTCAGACTGACTGGACATGTAAGGCAGTTCGCTTTGTCAACATTGTATTCCCCATTATTACTATTCACAACCTAATAGTGATAAGCATCGAGAAATATGTTTCATTGAGGCGAGTGCCTCGGCCCTTAAGTTCATCAACTGTTCGCAGATCAATTTTCCTGGCCTGGTTTCTTGGGTGTATAAGTACTCTCAGTGCCGCTGCAACTTTTAGGGGAATAAGGTATGACCTGAATGAAACGCACTTCACAGTCATTTGTAAGTATGATAAAGAATATTTTCCATTTCGACTCATTTTTCTTTCATTCACTGCAATCGAGTATATTTTTCCCTGCATATTTCTCATGATCATAAATATCTCGTTAATTAAAACTGTTTGGGTGACAGTCAAAACCAGGGTTTCCATTGACTTAAATTACCCAATGAGGAGTAAATTGCGAGCTGCAAAAATCCGGGGAACCCTTCTTCTTATTGTAATTACGTTTGCTTTCATTATTCCCTATTTTTTCTACTTTGGCTACGTGGCATATAACATGATCGCCAAACCAGATATAACCTTCCAAACCGATTACATAATTCGCTACGGGAGCGGCGTGATTGCCTTCGCAAACAGCGCAATTAATTTTTTAATTTACGTTGTACAAATGAGGGATTTCAAAGTATTCTTTCAAAAACGCTTCTTTGGTGGTAATACTGCGGCTGATAAAAATGTCTCTGTTTTACAGCAGATGCAAAGTTTTAATAAAATGCACAACCTTAGGCCACGAAATGCTCTATGTGTCACAGTAATACCAGTGACATCAGTTGGTAAAAAGTAATTAAGAAAATCTAGCAAAAAGAATTAGAAGTTGTTCTTCCTTAAAATACGTAAATAAAAGTAATTTATTCTGTTTATTCTCTCTTGGATGGATAGGCGAAATAAACAAGGCACTCACGTAAATCGATTTAGTCCGTTCATCTTTAACTAGCTGTGTGCCTTTTGTGTGAATTAAGTGGAATAAATAGACTTGATTATTTAAAAGAGAGAGCAGTTTTCGTTTTACTTTTTACCCACTAACTTGAATTCTGTTTTCTTAGGTAATGGATTCACCTGTTTTTGTGCACTGTAAGCATAGCAAAATTGTAAACTGAGCAATTAAGTTGATTGGTCTGATTTCATGAGGTATTGCAAAACATTTTCATGCAGAATCATTACGATCAATGCTATATTTCAATACCAGCAAGCGGAATCTCTGAACATTAAAAGATGAATTCTATCCCAACTTTCTAATTGACAATGAAACTGTAAAACACCTATTCAATATGTATAAGCAGAATAGCGCCTGTCTACAGCCGTCCACGCCCCTCAATTAATTGCAAAATCGGGGATGGGGCGGTTGTACACAGGCTATACGAACACAATGGTATGCGTATATGTTTCCTGAAGCAACATTATCATAACTAATATACCATTAGAGAGATATATAATTACCGGTCCTTTACGACAAGAAGTGTGACTACGTGATGAGAACAAACACAATCACCTGGCACACTTCACTTACACCCCACGATTATTTAATTACTTTCCTGGGCAGCTGCTTGTAATGTAAGATATGCCTTCCTCGCTAGCATAGCGGCCCAGTCCCTTTTCAATGGATTCATGTCCTTTGAAACTTTTTGCGTTGTACACAGGTCCAAATGCACGACACAAAGTCATTTTTGACTCCTAAATCTGACCTGGTGGCTATTTTCCCAGAACTCGGACAAGTGAACCTGCTCACAGGCTTTTTGTTTTGTGCGTGCAAGGATAATTTATCATCGCGAGAACCTCCAATAAAAGCTAAAATATAATGCAGAAGACTGAGTACTCAGGGACTAGTTATGTAGCATTTCTGACCAAAATGGTGCCCCTTCTGATAAGTTAACATACGTCTACCTACATAAGCAGCGTAGTTAACGACGGAGTAACGTTTTAACGGATGACCCTTTTATCAAAATACCTCAACAGCAGTTTTCCGAACCACACACCCAAACTTGTAAAAATCCTCTGTTTTGGCAGAAGTGAAAGAGACATCCCAGGATAGACCGTTCTAGGGAATATCGCCCCTCGCAGTTCGGGCAAATAGAATCCTGGCCAAAAGGTTCTGGGACACCTCCTCTTTTTCAGGCGTTTTTGTACGGAATTTGACGCTGGGGGTTTTGAAGCTAACCCGGCAAAACACACTCATAAACACCGCCTTAACAAGATTTTTGCCCATTCCCTCGGAACAAAGTTGACTTGTAACACCCAACACTGTCCAGGGGGAAGAGGGTCAACGTGAATTGTATTTTCCTCACCTGAAACACAAAGTGTCTCTAACCTTCTGACCACAGGAAGAACACGAGTGACATCACAGTGACCCTCTAGCCGCACGTAAAATGCCGGTGGTCAGACATTTATTAAGTACCTTTACTGAAAACCGCTGTATGTCAGACGCATGAAATTAGGCCGGTGTCTCCTGTCTGCCACGGGCATGGAAGGTAAATTATGGTGCCAGTGACGTCAGAGTAGAAGAAATAAGGGACTTCACTAGATACGCAGGAATAGACTCGTTTAGTTTATTGCAAAAACTAATGCTGATGCAATTGATAACCAAACAACAAGATAGATTTCAATCGAAATAATTTATCATATATTAAGGGAACTAAATTTACAACTAAATCTTATCGAACAAAAAACAAAAAGTACACCGTTATTTCTATAACGTTTTTCGATATGATTGGTTTACCTCAACTGATCGGCTAGCATCATCAATAGTCTCAAGTTCTATCAGTCCCGCCTTAATATAACGCAGGACTGCCCTAATGTCTTGAAAAAACTCCTAGTTATAGCTTCCCGTTATTCACCATTGTTCAGCGTAATATTTTACGCCTGTGGCCATAAAGTTCGAATTTTATGCAGTCACGGTATAGACTGCTGGCTTCCGTCTTTCATTCAGTTTTGCGCACACACACTCGTGACGAATAAGAGGGAGTGTGCGAACTGTAGGAGAAATTAGGAAGGGGCAACAGAAAATGCATCGTGCCTTTTTTCGCAGTCTACAAGTTTGCAGTTTTTGAGCTACTTGGTAAGGCCGTCGACAAAATAGAGAGAAAATACATTGACATTTAGTAATTATTGCCTCCGAGAAAAGCAGTTTGGGTAACCGCAAAGAGAGATAAAAGTAATGAAGGGAGAAGGTATTCAAAAGAGCTGAAAATTTAAGGAAAATTTCCAGATTACGATATTTGTTAAAAATTACACATTTCACAAGTTTTTTTTTTTTGCTTTCCAAAAGAACCTGGGATTTCTCATATTTTCAACAGCTTACCAAGCGATGGATTTTTACACTTATTGGAACTTTTCATCCTCTACTAACTGCTATAAGCTCAACAGAAGACCTCTCGTTCCAGTTCCCCGAGGCTTAATTCACTCAGTTCCTTGTAAGTCTTGCTAGACTTTCGCATTACGTCGTGATTGGAGCTTTGCCCTTGAGGTCTGTTTTCATTTTCTGCAAAAAGTGTAAACTAAATTTTTGGTTTTCTGCAAAAAGGGTAAACTAAAAACCACAGACGCAGCCCAAGCACACTATTTGTGGGTTCGGGCTTCAGATTGGAAAAGAATACTAAACGGCGTTTAAACCAGCCGTAGGAAACAGAGTGGCCCTTATGAACGAAAGGTAAGGGAAGGAATCAAAATTTCTTCATGATTTTTTTTCCCTTAAAATTTTGATTGATCAACCCGAATCACAAATAATGCAAGAAATATCGATTTTCGTTATCTTAAAGGCTACTAGTACCGATAGACAAACAAGAAGACTTCATATCTTTAAGACTTTTTGCATTTATTTGGCATCAGATAATACACTAATAATTCTAGTGTATTCCCACCAAATGACCTCTGAAGCCCGAACCCACAAATAGTGCGCTTGGACTGCCTGTGGAAAAACTGACTTAAAATTTCATTGTCAACGCCAAAGTTCTTTAAGAAGCCTTTTCGATGATAAACACGGGGTTACGTTTCTCTATGCCACTGAGAATAACCGACCCCGACTCCAAGAAGTCTGCTCTCAGACTTATATCCTATAGAATGAAATAATTGGTGGAAATTCATGAGACCAAGTTCACTTAATTTTAGTACAATAAAAAACCTCTGGCAACCAAGGTAAAATAGCGAGTAACAGTTATTGATGTAATACAAGTGACATACGATGAACTGAAAGAGACCTATGGCGAATTTATTGCCCCATGAAAGGGGATTCAAGGCAGTCTTGAAATTCTGGATTCCACGCCATTGATTCTGGATTCCAAGTTCTGGATTCCGGATTCTTTGCCAGTGGGAGTTAAATTCCGGATTCCAATTGGTAGTGGGGTTCCGGATTCCAAATCTCAGGATTCCCCATTACACGACACGAATTTCCTGGATTCCGGATTCAACAAAATAAATTTCCTAGATTCTGGATTCCACAAGCAAAATTTTCCCGTATCCCGGAATCCCTTACATGGGGCGATATTTACGTGTGTAGTATTCCCACAGTATGATCATTCTTCCTCTCTTTTTATGCCGATGTCTCGACAGTTCTTACCTACACTTATCCCACTTTTGTTGGGTGGATTATGGTGCTCCACAGCATGGAAACTTCTGAAACTTTCTGTATTTGGTGTTCCATGAGGGGAAACCAGTGCAGTTTCTGGTAAGGAGAAAGTAAAATCAGATTCCGAATAGCTCTGAATTCCACCTAGCTGTTCCCCGGCTAGATCCACGGAATGCCTGTGAAACGGCGAGTCAGCTGTCTGATAACCCAAATTGTCAAACTCGTAAAATGGATTCGCGTTTGAAGTTGAACCATTGGCAAATGACCGAGAACGCAACTTTGTGCGTGAAAACGAGGTAGCAAAAGTTCTTTCTATAAAGGAACGACTCCTTGAAAATGGAAGGGGAGATCTCGATGTGAAGCGATCGGGCAAAACAGTTGTCTTTATACCAGAGTTTGTATTAACTGGAAAATGTGTGACTTGAAGAGTCTGAGGCCCTGTCTCCTCAAGGGGGCCTGGTGACGAGAAACAATCGGCTCTTTTTTCCGTAGACTTTGCTTCTGGACTTAATTCCAATGCATTTTCCCCTTCAAAGTCTTTAGATAATGGCTCTGATGTTACATCTATAGCGCTAAGGGACAACTGGTTGCAGTCCGTCAGAACATCTGCTTTAGATGGCTTTACATCCTGTTTAGCTTTCTCTGTCACTGCAAAATTTTGTTTTACGTTTTCACCATTGTCACCTTGTGAATCGCGAGATAACTGACTGTTCTCTAAAGAGTTATCGTTAAACAATTCTGGTGTCTTGCAAATGAACGGATAAACTAGAGAAAAGACCAAGAAAGAAAAATAAGTGAACAAAGACGTTTAAGTATAGTTACAGCCTAGTAAATATACAGACAGAGCCCATTAATACGGACAGTGAGGTGGCCATAGAAAGTGTCCGTATTAACAGGGTGTCCCTATAAAAGGGGTTTGAATTTAGAGAAACTGGAAGGGCTTTCTTTCCTCAGGCACGAAGCAAACTGTTCGTAATAATAAGGTGTCCACAAAGCGAGGTTTAACTGTACTACCACGTAAGAAAGCTAAATAGACTTGTCTAATGTTTTAAATTAATTTTCTTAGCCCTTTTCACCTGTAGGTTTTTGAAAGGAAGAAACTTGCGTACGCTTGACAAATACATGGACATTCTGGGTTGACGATAACATCTTTCGGACCCAGTCTACCGGCTTTTATTTCCCTCTAGCATCACACTACGTCCATTCCCAAATAAGGCGTTGAACGGGCTATTATGTCAGAGTATCATACCTGAGACAGCGATTTTTCTCTTTCGTTTGCTTGAACTGGATCGTGTGTCGCCGCAAGAAGATTCATCTTCAAAAGCTGCGTCCATCTCTGGCGAGACTATGATTTTGTTTTCATAACCATTTTCTTGCGTGTAACAGCCATATTTGTCACTGGAAGGTAAATCAGAGGTTTCCTGTTTTGGAGTTGTTTTACCAGCGGACAGACGCACGTTGGATCCAGCATCCTCCTTCTCGACCTCGTCTTTGAAAGAAATGCGCTTCTTATGTAGACGTGGCCTTTCCTGGACTCCGTCAACAGTGGTGCGATAAAAGCTTTCGGTTTCGCATGGTTCCTTTTCATAAGCGGAGTAAATAAGGCCACCCTGATGGTATCCAATGCTGCCTCCATCAGGAACAATGCCAGAATCATGATAACTGAATGAAGGATTGCTCGTGACTCTAACCACCGTTTGATCTGTGGTCGGTGTGGTTGATTCTAAATCAAAACTGCGCCGTGAAGCTAGCGAAAGCCGCCGTGTCCATGGATCTGGAAGTTGAAAAAACAAGGTAGCGGACCTCATAAGATATGCGTTGCAAACAAAGAACATGTTTTCAAGAATCAGAGAGGCAACGTAAGTACAACTAAAAAGACCATACTTTCTAATGAAAAGAAACTTGTCTCTCTTCGATTCGTGATCATTTTTAAAAAGTTAAAGTTTAAAGCGCCCTTCAAAGACCCGTTGCCTTGACAACAACAGTCGATCCTCTACTAACGGCCACCTCTCTACAATGGCCATTTTTTATTGTCCCGGCGGAAAGTCCATACATCGACTCTTTTTTAAACCTCTCTACAAAGGCCACATCTCTACCACGGCAACGGCCACTAAAGCGTGTCCCCAACTGAATGTTGCAGGATAAGTTTTGAGATCAGAGTCAATAGTTTGGCAGCGATTTTCTTAGAAGGCTTAAAGGTATAGGTACCATTACCTCTCAGATGAGAAAAATGTAAAAATGCCTGGTAGGAAAAGGAGCTTAGACGTCAATTTTTTTTGTACCCCGGCCGTCTACCTTATACCCTGGGTGCCAGAGACTTTTCATGCGCGGTTTCCGGTTTCGGTCAAGTCTCCTCGCGGCTTCGCCGCTCGTGTATTCGGCCTTCGGCCGAAGACGTGTTGGCCTGCGGCCGACATCCGGCGAAAGCTCCTCCTCGCACGCGAGAAAAAACCTCTGGTACCCAGGGTATCTACCTTAAGGTTATATTCACAATATTCCGGAAAGCTTTTGCGCCGCCATGAAAACCATACCGGATAGGGCTTCTGTTCACACACAAAAACTGTGTTTTAGGCGCGGTTTCTGTGACGGCGCAAAGCTGCGCCGTGACGATCTCGAAAGTGTTGTGTCACAGTACACTGTTGGAGAGATTTTGTTCCATACTTTGCTGCAGCGTGAACATCTATTACTACAGTCGCGGAAGTAGATAAACAGAAACGAGAACTGGAATTTAGTGCACCAAACGTTAACCTTCTCGGCCAAACTCGACGGCACAATGTTGGGTGTAAAGGACTTGCGCCGTTTCGGGTGGCATTCCACGTCGGCACGAAAATCTATCCGTGAAAAAAAAAATCTATCAGTGCGAACATAACCTAAGTTTGAGGGTAATTATCAGGTTAAAGATTTATGAACATACTGTCGGCTTTATAGGATGAACATAAACCACAGCAGTGAAAAATCTTGCAAAGGATGAATATATATCCTTTTCTATATGGCTTGCACATGGCGGCGCCGATTAATGGATTGAGAACTGAGTTAATAACAGCCAACCGCATTGACCAGAAATGAGCTTGTGGTGGGATTTGGAACCAACCACTCACATGCTGAAGAATAACAATCTGAAAAGACAAAGGCAAGAATCAACTCAACTCAGCCAAAAAGATGTAAGATGTTGTTACACATCAGAAGTCACCATCTATCATTAGAGACCTTTAGACCTGTTGTTAATCCTCTAACAAGTTCTCTCCACTAATAATAGCATACGAAAAGGATAAAGGGTTAAAAAAACAAAGCAAAGCAAAAACTACAATAAACGTCACAGCGCTCTTTGTACTTAAAAAACTACGCTTTGAATCGGACCTATCATAATTTTTTGGGGATTTCGATCCCTCTAACCGCCGAGGGTCCCGTTGGGATAGTAAGCGCGCGGGAGCTTTTCCCCTACTGACCGTCCCTCGCAGGCTTTCCCAATACCCAGTTCCCGGGGGGGGGGGGTACTCCCTTATATAAGCTGTATAGGTATGTGCCGCCCCATTGGATAGGGTTTTTGCGCCGTTTTGGTCTGAAAACCGGTATACCCTTTGCCCATTTTGGTCTGGAATCAGGTATGGTTTTGGAGGGAACTAAGGGAGTATATGAACGTATTTTTCGTTTCAATTCCAACTGAGTAAGAAAGAAAGAGAAATATGCGCATTCGAAATGAATTTAAAGAATTTTCTTTGTTTGCACTCTAATCTAAGTAATAAAGGCCATGTCTGAAAACGGGTATGGATTTTAGAGCTCTGGTCTGAAAATGACATTTTTGGTCTGAAATAGGGTCAGGATTTGGAGAGCCGGGCGGCAAACCCTTACCAAGAATTCCCAGGAGTGACTCCCCCCCTCCCCCTGGGGCTGTAGCGCAGACTTTGTCCAACCCTTCCTGAACCTGGCCGTTTGGAGAAGGGAGACATATGACAAACCAGTACCCCTTCCTTTACTCCCGTAACGTAGGCTCAGTACCCTGAACGCTAAATTTGCCCTTAGCTTGTTTCTTTTCCCATCCTTTTACGGCGATAAGATCACCCTACGTGCAAGTTCTAATGATTGTTTCCTCAAATAAACTGTATAAAACCAAGCCAGTATGATGGTTAAAGAAATAGAGATTACTTCATGGTTGGTGAGTGCGTACGATTTTTATTCACGAGTTGTGAAGAATCGAAAACGAACGAGTGAGCGCAGCGAACGAGTGAGTTTGCGATTCTTCACAACGAGTGAATAAAAATCGTACAAGCGAACCAACCATGAGGTAATTTGTTTATTATATATGTACTGAGATATTACAAAATAATGTTAACAACTATCAATTGCGCGGTGAAATCAACACAAAGACCACAACGAGTTGCGAATGATTTTATTCGAGCAAACTGAACGTACAAAACTTCCTACAACATTGAAGTTATTCAATCACTCTGAAGAAAGTGGAACAAAGTCTACTTTTAAACGATTCTTTAACTTTAAATGACAATGAAAATTTTCAGCTTTAAATATCGCCGTTCAAAACCGTAACTAAGATATAAAATTTGAAAAAGTTGACTGTTTTGTAAATCTAATTATAGTAATGCGTGCATTCTAATCAGAGTCAGAGTCCAGTACTTTTAGCCTTTTGTACCTCTTTGGAGAAGACTTTACCTCAACTTCTTGGATTGCCAACTTCGGGGATTGATTGAGGCTGTTAATAGAAATGCTGAATTGACCTCCATGAATAACAGCGCCCGTGAAAAGCGACATCGCTTGTTGGTGATGATCTGCCGCCGAGCGACCCGCCGAGCTAGCTGAAGGATCAGTGGAGCATTCTCCAACTTGAGATGAATTAGTTTTACTGCTAGATAAAATGGCGCGTTGTTGTCGTTCATTTCCGACGGTCTTTTCTCCGCGTATAATTTGTAAACAGTGACGGGATCTCTTTCACTTCCCTGAACCGAAAACATTTTCGGTTTTATTTGCCTGACATCTCTGGGATTTTCTCCGGTTCGAGTCTTAGTTTGTCTCTCAGTATACTCTAAAAATTCCTCGCCATTTGTAGTTTGGCGTAGTTGCACATCGCCCCAACACATGTCTCTGTGTTCCTTACAACCACGGAGACCGAAATAGACTGTGTTGTTGAACCAAACTGTATTCAGTAGAGCCTCAGGAGTTGACTTTCCTAACAATCCTTTGTCATACAGCAGTTTTATGTCGTCTTCTGTGAGGGGAACTGAAGCGTTTGGTTTATCGCCTTTGCCTTTCTTCTTGAGATCTCTTTGTTTTGATTTTAATGCCGTTCGTGCTTTTTCAAACTCGACGTCTCTCATAATGCTGTAGCCGTAATTCTTCTTCTTTAAATACCGTTCAAAACTGGCCATCATAGCACGCAAGGAAGTGGGTTCGTAATCTTCGTTGTTTTCTTTCTTTCTTACTGTTATGATAAATTCGCTGATGAATGAACTCAGTTCGTGTGGGGGAATTTCTTCTACAGGCCTTGACTCATCTTTTAGCCTCAAAAACTCCTTAAGCAAAGCAACATTCTGTTCAGTTTTCTTCCTGGTGTTTTCGTTTTCTTGTCCTTCAATAAATTCCTCTACTGAAGTTATATCTGCAAACCTTAAATTGCTCGAAGAAGACGCCATGGTTTTCCTTTTGCCTAGTGACGCCGTCAGTGAAAGGCGGGAAAATCGACACGATTTTTGTCACTAGTGAAAACTTTCGTCTGCGGGTTGTGATTGGTCATACGGTATTTTTCACTAGTGAGAAAAATCGTACAACCAATCAGATTGCGTGTACTCTGCAACGCATCATTTTTATTTGACATATTCATTTTGCAGTAAATCTCAGTACATATATAATAAATATATTTATGTATCATAACATCTACATGGCTTATCAGATCGGCTCTTAAGTCCCCTGAGAACTTCTGTGCGGTCTCAATCAACAACAGTGCTTGTAGACGAAGAATAGATCCTCGACTTGATTCGAACTCGGACAACTCGAATTCGCCGCTAACTCGCTGAAAATTTCTGGCTTTCCCTTCATCAAAATTTCACTAAAATTTACCCCGATAACTCGAAATCCCCGCTATCTGAATTGTTTTTCATTTCCTCTCAGAGTTCGAGTAACCGGGGTTCTACTGTAATAATGATAAAAAAAAATTATTACTTCAATTACACCGATGTAGACAGTATTGTCTTCAATAGTCTGGCACAGGATAGATAAAAAGCGCCTAGGACTTTTCATGCTGTGGACAAGAGAAGGTATGCTCTGTAACCGTCAACTGACATAGTTCATGGAAGAATGTCTAATTTTATCTGCTTTAGTAAATGAAACAAACAAACAAACAACAACATCATTGTGTAATCATATAATTACATTTTAAATACATTTCGAGACTTGATTCTGGAGCCTTAGGTAAGGAACCTTTGTACCCTAATAGGACAATTGACATTAACCTCGGATAATATATATTCTAAGATAAGTATTTAGTAAAATCCAACTAGTGGTCTACTATCAATGCTGCGTTCTGATTGGTTGAGCTACTACTAGGCTATATGTTATAGCCTACTAAGAGCGAAAAGCGCCGGCTTTGAAAACAAAACGATGGCGGCTGAACCGCGTTTTGCTAGCTAAGGTTGTTTTGTCTTGATATTTTAACCAACTAGTTGGATTTTACTATACTAAAACAATTATTCCTCTCGCCCTCATGGCCTCTGAGTCAATAGCCCATTCGGCCTTCGGCCTGATGAGCTATTGACTCAGAGCCCATAGGGGCTCGAGGAATAATTGTTAATTAGTCTATTATAGTTCTATTACAGTGTCACATCATTATTCGTTTTTTTCAGTGTGAGTCTAAAGTACATAGAATATTCATAGCTATCACCTTGTATTAAACTTGCATATTCACTATTCCTAACTTGCGGTTGACAGATCAATAAAATGTTTGATATAATTAGGTGCACTTAAAGTTGATATTACATGCAGTGCTGACATATATCGCGGTTTGAAGCGTATTATACAGTCTTACATTGGTATAATTATACGACAACACATTTCTAAAAATAACAGACGAACTTATTTGTTATGAGCGATCGGTGTGAGTATCCCAAAACCGTCACAGCCACTGACTCATTCTTTTTCTGTTGCTTGTTTGCTCACTGTTAATTTTAAAAAGAATTCATCATGCATTTTTGTTTCGGATGAAACATTTGTAACCGCATTGCTCAATACACCTTATCTGGTAACCATTCACAGAGTGAAAAAATCCATTCCGCTGTTAACATCTGCAGAGGAAATTCAACCCCACATACCTGTTATATTTTTTCTAACGGTGATTTTACTTTGAGTAATAATTTTATTGGTGTGCTACTTCTTGCCAAAATCAACTTGTATCGTTTACGTTGCTTATTTATTGTTCATTATTTTTACTCTTTACAGAGACATTTTCAAATGGCAGCTTTCAAGAATTTGTTATTTCTTCTCTTCATGTGTTGTGTTGTATGTCGAATCCTGACAAAGCCTTTAAAAGTGGAAGAGGGGGCAGGTAACATATCTCTCTCAGAAGGACGTTTCTGGAAAGCGTTGCCGGCAGGTTGGTACTCAACTGATCACTCATTCAAATACTAACCGTATAATCAGTTAAAACTAACCAAGCAATCATATAATCGCTTTGCAAAAACAACTGCTATGGACAAGTTCATCATCATGAGGACTAATTCTGTTTTTCATTTTTACTACAGATGTTGTTTGCCTTTAGCAAGACGTTTTCACTTCTTCGTAAATGAAGAAAAAACATAGTTTAGATTCCTTTAACGCTCTTTACAATCTCTAAATGATTTTCGTGAGTAATCTTCTGTTGAGTTAATTGTTTTGTTCTGTTAGTTCCTTGCACTTTAAAAATTAATCATTCTAAGGCGACAAAGACATTCTTTTAAAGTGAGTCGAGTCCATTTTCATTTATCCTTTAGCAAAAACGCGACGAGAGCCATGCGAAGACAAAAAGGATGCCTATTATTATTTCTTTATCGCTGTAGTGGAGGATAACTGTGCCTCTGTAGGAGATATATGCAGCTGGACTTGCTCACTGTGCAGTTAAACGTAATCTTGTGATGTAAAAAACTAAGATTGCTTTGGAGAGTCATTAACAAATAAAAATCACTCCAGCGTTTAAGTCTGGTGTAAGAAACTAAGATACGCTTTCTTTTTTATTTACGGTCAGTCCATTAAAAGGCTAGCTCAGTTAAGGTTGACATTTTCCTCGCTATATCTTCTTATTGGATAAACCCGCTTCGAGTCACAAAGGAAACGCTCCCTGCCACCGACCTAATACCTAATAATCATGTTCTAAGAATAAGCCATCATTACGTGAATTTGTTGCATTAACAGTTAGTCGTCAGCCTTGAACTATTGCTTCCCGTCACTGTACCGAAGTGACTGGTGTGATGTTGGTACGTTTGCACAATTTTGCTGCCACGACACTGCACAGGAACTCGATAAACTCGCAGAGTGTCAGAACGCTGCAGCCAAGGAGCAAACCCATGTTACCTCCAATCTCACCTGGTATTCAACCGAGAAAAAAAGAGGAACGAAAAAAAAAACAAAAACAAAAACAAAGACAGATTAGTTGGCTCGAAAATGACGAACTGTAACTGTAATCACTTATTTCGGCCTTATATTATCTTTCAAAGGGAACATACCAGAATCGCATGTGTACAATATTTAATTTACTCTACCTTTACCACGAAACCAACTAACTTTTTTGTCAACGTTGCTGTTCATTTTTATCCTTGGTTTAAATGTTATTTTCCTTTGTTTTGGGGTATGGTATTGTATGACCATAATGAGTTTGAAACAAAGGAAAATAAAATTTAAACGAAGGATAAAATTTAACCACAACATGTCCACGGATAGACATTAATAAAGCATAGAATCTGACAGGTAACCTTGTTGAGTTCCTTTTACAGCGTACCTCACCCCACGGCCCCTGGTCGCTTATACACAGGAGTTTCCCCCGCCTCCCCTCCCTGGCTGAATTCCATGTATACTTCATATTTCCATTTCAGTGTTGCAACTTACCAAACATGGCATATATGTCGTACACTAGCTTCTCCTCCTGCAATTCATAACTTAATGAATTAAAGCCAACTGTTAGGTAAACAAAATCCTGGCTACGAAAACAAAATACACAGTCAGTACTATAGCAAGGAAATCTGAAGGAAATGATTCACCTTTACCAATTTTTCTTTTTTCATAACCCCTGCAAAACTCAAATATAAAACCTCAAAGATGTAAAATTTATTTTTCTTTTTTTTTTTTAAACGGCAGATACTACACGGATGCATTGTGTAGCTAAAGTTTGTTTTACAAACATGGATTACCGTAAATCCTCTATTAAGCCCCCCACGGGGGGCGGGGGGGGGGGGTATTATTTCAAGGATGTTTCAGGGTGGGGGTAATAGAGAGTGGGAGCTTATTTGAGAGGGGGGACTTAATCAATTAACCGAAATAGGGGACCATACTACTTTTTCAAACAAACAGAAGATGGTATCAATTCTCCATAAAAAACGAGGAAGCAAAGGGGAAATGCTCAGGAAGATGACGTTAAAGGTCTTGGAGCTAAAGATCCTAACTTCCAGATATGAATAAACCACACTGGATCAGTCCATTTTTTATTTTGGTAGTGAAGAACAAGGAGGGAGGGGAGGGGACGGGGCTTAAAGAGAAGGGGGCTTAATAACCTTCTTCCCTTGATCGAGAGGGGGGGTGGCTTTTTAAAAAAGGTGAGCTTATTTGGGAGGGGGCCTTAATAGAGGAGGTATTACTGTTACCTATTCCCGTTGAGATTACTGAACCAATTGCTAACTGGACTTGAGATTGTCTTGTCAAGGAGTTTGGAGAAAGATACTTCCGCCTTGTATTTTGTCTGATTACAAGAGACTGGACAGTCACATTTCACTGTGTCCTCAGAACAATGAAAGAAAGCAGCAATGTTAGAAAGTACAGACTCTCACTAAGTAAAAACTTTTGAATACATTGGTGCACACTTGGTGCACACACAACACATGAATGAAGCTGACTCGTTAGTTTTAAAGGGACTGGTTCACGATAATGCGCATGCGCGCCGTTTGTCTCTTCAGAAAAAATTTGTCGGGCCAACACTAAATTCGAAATCGCCATTACCGGTACAATCATTGAAAATCCTTCGTTTTATTCGGACATCCGTCGCTTTGGCTGGTCTAGTTATACTTCGGTAATGGTGATTAACGTGTGGTTGTGTCGTTTGACTGGTTACGTTTTAAGAAGACGCAAAAAATAATGTTTTGATCATGGAGGTTCAGAAGAGCATCGTGGCCGTCCGGCAACTGGACTTTCTCAAGAGTCTTTGGAGATAGAACAAGAACGAGAAGTCCGAAGACTACAGCAAAGCTGATTTAAAACAACGTGTATTGTTTTTTATAACAATATTTCGGCTGGCCATACCAGCCTTCTTCAGGTTTACAGATGTTATAAAAAACAATACACGCTGTTTTAAATCAGCTTTGCTTCTTTGCTGTAGTCTTCGGACTTCTCGTTCTTGTTCTTTATATTTTGGCTGATTTGATCTCTTCTCTAGAGATGTTTACAACTAGTTTACGTTTACAACTAGTTTACGTTTACAACTAGTTTACGTTTACAACTAGTAGGATCTTCGTCCACGGTTTTTGCAGTTAATTTAATCCTTTATTTTGGAGATAGAGAAGCTTAGCCTATCGATCTGGTATGGTTCTAGGAGTAGTGTGTGGCTTACGAAAAGAATACACGACACTTGGAAAGTGTTTAAAGGCATGAGTTCGTTCAACTTTGATTTGATTTTTGACTCCGACCTGTAGTTATACCGCACCAGGCCGCGCGATCTTCACCGATCTGGTACACTTAAAATTTTCCTTGTGTCTTTGCTTTACGATCGTATATGTTTAAGAATTGATGTTTTTAAAATAAATTATTGCCTGAATATTCTGTTTATAATCTAGTTTCTTTATGTGTGCTTCTCGATAACATTTGTTTTGCGGAACACTGACCCGATGCAACGCGAATAATTTCTTCATTTGCTGATAAGCAATTGAAATTTATGCTGAATTTTAATTCAGCATAAATTTAAAATATCCTTAAAAGGATAATCCTTATACTCATACGTTGTGTGTTTTTGTCACCGGTCAGGCACTATTTTTAGGTATTTCTGGGTTTATATAAGGCGAACTGAGAGAACAGTAATAAGATGTTTGTTTACAAATTTTGTTTGCCGATCGGTGACTGCTTTGTTAGCGTGGGTACGACCTCGTAAAAATACACGTTGGTAAATGTTTGTTTCAAAGCAGGACAGGGCTGTAAATTTTATTCTTATCGGCTGCAACATATATCTGAGGAGTAGCAAAGAATAAACTTGAATTATTGGGATAAATAAACTCATGGCCGGAAATACTCTCGCGTCGCGAACAATTAATTTGAATTTTGTAAATTTACTTGCGTGCATCTAACTCGCTTCCGATTGATTGAAAACAATCTCTACTGTCAGAACTCACACATGCGCATTATCGTGAACCAGTCCCTTTAACCGAATGTAAGAGGCCGAGCGTCACTCAGCGTTAATGCGGGGTGGATCGGCGTATCACTTAGTGATTGCCGTTTGGTTTAGTTAATCAGTTTACTAAACATTTTATTGAGGTGAGGCTTATATACAATGTACATGTGTCATAAATGAGTGAAACTACATGTTGTGGATCAATTGTGTCAGTTTAGTTAATCATTATGACCCTCAATTGCCATATGCCAAAAAACAAAGGAAAATAAATTTTAAACCAACAAATATAACTTTAAAGTTATTTCTCGTCATCAACCTTTAAGACCATGAAGACAATCTGCATGTTTCTGTTGGCAAACTTCAAAGCTGGATCCTGAATTAAAAGAAAGCAACAAGTTGGTTAAGTCAGTTTAGTCCTAATTAGTTTTTGCGTAATTTAGTTAGTTGTTATTTTAAAAGGAGATTGCAGTAGATAGGGAAGAACGATATGAACGGTTTATTGCAAATGGAATAATTGCTAGAAACAGCAAACACGCCACTGGCAAACTCTGGCCTTTATTAATGTTGTTGTTAATTATTATTATTATTATTATTATTATTATTATTATTATTATTATTATAAGACCATATGCTTTTTATAATTGTTATTAGTAGTTTTTAGATAGTCATTTTACGACAATTCTCTTTCGTACACAAGAAGAATGTACATAGGGTATATATTTTAATATTCATATTCTTGAATCTGTAAAAAGTCTATTTTTTGAATCTATGAATAAAGTTATTTTTGTATTATTATTATTATTATTATTATTATTATTATTTCAGTTAAAAGTGATGAAACATTTTGAAACACGGTTAACATATAGAATTATTTAGAATTAGACAAGCCTAAAAGCGGAGCCCCTTATAAACATTTCGGCAAACTGCTAATAAACTTTAAATCATCGCTTTTCAGTCATGAATTTTTATTGATTTCCGATCGCGATTTTCAGTGATTTCCAGCCCTTGAATAACAGTAATGACATCACGTCTGTTGATTCCTTATCCTTTAAAAATATGTCTGTGTCAATTTTTAGGTGCGAACTTACAGGTAATTCTGATGATTTTGATTGCCGTGAATTTTTGATCGGACATTCCGCCATTATTTCGATGGTCGATTGTTGCAATGAAAGTGAAAGAGACGTCATGTCCTCACGAAATTGATTTTTAAAAAATTTAAACGAAACTCACTAACCACACAGAAATGCGATATGGAATCACACGATTGAAATTAAAGCTGATGTTAATACTGTTTTCCCGTTTTTCATAGCCATACACCTCCATTTTGATCCTGTCAGGTGGCGGTTTTCCACCGGAACATAAAACATGCACAGTAATAGCGGATCCGGAGAGACCAACCAAAAAAGCAAAACTTGCCATTCAACATCTTTTCTTTGACGAACATACACTTAACATGTTATCAAAGTAAGAGAGATACTTTTATAAGAAACAGCAACATGTACAACATACAGTAAAACATTAAAAGAAATTGGGTGGGGACTGCTGATATATACCAGTGATACCCGCCGGACGACAGCCACAGTATTCCATATAACGTTTAGCGTAACACTCCTCCAGGCAACCGTCTGTAGTATATCGAGAAAAACTTTTCAATTTCATTGTCTTGCACTTCTTGCCATATCTATCAAGATGCTTGAACTTTGAATGAAAAAGAAAATCATGATATCATCAACATCATCATGATCACCATCATCATCATTATCGGTAGCTGCGTCATTTATTTCTCTTTACAAACAAAAACTTGAAAGGTCATCCTCATTATTCCTTTTTTTGCCGAAAGAGAACTTTAATACCATTTTCATAAACTTTAAGGAGTTGGTTAAAAATAGCTTAATAAAAGGAATGATATAAACTGAGGTGTAAGAAAGCAAAAATAGCTAGTACCAGTTACCAACGAATAATCAGAACTTCTAAACGTAGGCTCAACCTTTTCAAGCAATTCAAGTTAAGGAGGGAAGGTCACTGCATCCTAACCTTTCTAAGTCAACTTTGTCAACATTTTCAAATAAACAGCATTTGGACACGTGAGAAACGAAATCTCCGAAACTAAAATTTGACTCTAGCTTAAAGTGATACCAGTTTTTCTTATTTTATTAAATCTCCTGAAGGCAAAGAACATGAAATCAAGAAAGACATAAACCAAACCTACTCTTTGCTCTGAAAGCGAAATGGTAGCATATGTCCCTGGCATTACACTAAATGCCTCATCAAAGGCATTGAAGCTTTCTCCCTGGGCATGGATCGATATGGAGAACCCTTGTGCTATCTTGTGGCCAAGCGTGTAATCTGACTGACTCACATTCAGCATTATTGCCAGTCCACTGCTCACTCCACCCCTATAGGAAACTTTGGATCGATTGTTTTTGCCAGAATTAAAAGTATGGCATATTCCATATTGTGTCACTTCGGTTTCAAAATCTGAGTGATAGCAGTTTTCACTCCATTGGAAGAGGCATCCAAAATAATGAGATAGCATTTCTGCTGGATCCGGGCTGAAGACTGTGAAGAACTGTTCCATGTTGAAAAGAACCCCAGATTCTTCAAGTGCTTTTTGCAATGCACTCCTTCTCTGTTTAGTGCAGTTGGGGTAATAAATTGGATTTGTTTTATAACCAAAAAAGGCACAGCAGCAGATCATTGCTAATCCACAAGACATGTTGTTCATCTCCCTCTGACGTAACTCCTTAGTAGCCTCGCATGCGCTCATGTTTAGGCCTTGGGCTGCAAAAAAGGGATCGTCGTCCCGCATCATAATTTTTCTTCTGCTGAATAAATTGTCAGGACAAATACTCACTGCCGGAAACGACATATTCTGTTCGTAATTCTTGGTTATCGAGGTGACAGTATGATATTGAAGGTATTTGTTCACTGCCTTATAAAAGGTGTAAATAAAATATGCGCCAAAGGTCAGCATTACAACAGACCAAACCACTCGGGAGACCTTTGGTCTTTGCGATGGTAAAACATTCCTTATACCATGCAAAGTGGTATTTTCAATAAATGCTGTCCATTTTTGTGAAAGGCTGCGATGATGTTTCCTTTCTTCCTCTTCTTCTAATTTCTTATCATTCATGTTAGGATTTTTTACGCTCTGAAAATAAAAAAAAGAAAAGAGCAGTTGCGTGACGGTTCATCAATTCTAAGCGTCACCTCCCTCCTGGGATATTTGAAGGCTATTTGCGAGGTTGTGCGATTGCACTCATCAACCTGAATATATCAAAACACTACTGTTAAGGGCCTGTTTACATGGGGGTGTGGAACCTCAGCCGTAGTTAATTAAGGTAACCCGCTTTGGGGTAACCCCCCTTTCCATACAATCTCTCATTTTAACTTGATCACGTTTACATCATGGCAGATGGGGTGACCCGCCGCATGCTACCTCAACTATCTGTAGCCCCCCCACCTGCATGTAAACAGGCCCTTAGTCACCATTCGTCATAATCTTGTCGCTAGTTTCTTCATTATGAGGGATTTTTATTTGAATTATTAATTTATTTACTTTATATTTAGCTGTTTCAAACATACATGATGCGTACCTTCCTGGGGTTTATGTGATGGGCATACAGGAATTGACTCAGCCATGCATGAAGGCTTTTACTTGCAAAGTTTGATTTGTTGAATTCAAAAATCATGGTTTTATTGATATCAGTTTGACATACCCAGAAACTTTTAAGTATATCATTATTTTTTATTATTTCAAGTAAATGGTTTATTGTGTCAAGAGTACTGCAATTTAAAGAATAACTGGATTCTTATTTCTCTCAATTCTAGTATTACACATGCGCAAGAAAAAAGCAAGAACTATTTATAAAGTGGAGCCAACCACTAGTAACAAATAAAAGAAAACTTTTAGTTTCAGGGAAGTGCTTTTGATATTACAATCATGATAATGCGGTCATGTTTTCATTTATTTGATTGCAAATTGTGAAGGGAACAAAAAAATATATAGAACTTGGAACGTGTAATTAAAGGAGACTACTTTAACTCAATTTCCATTGTGAAGATTGCCACAATAGTGAAATTTTAAGGAGGCAAAATAAACTATGTTAAATAGATTACGCATAGCTATGCAATTTAATGAAATTTCCTTTGCTTTATTCCTCATATTAAATGCAAAAACTAATGCAAAAAGTTTTTATACTATCATTAATTTTCACTTAAAAGCACTCTCGGTAGTAAGCTTCTACAGTGAGAATTGCAATGCCCACATTTTCCTCCTGGATTATCAGTTATTACTTTTTTTTTTTCAAAAAAATCCTTCGATGCTGACAGTCGCTGTATCCAACAAACAGTGGGAATCTGATGTAACTAGACTCGTGTAAAAATGACGAAAGCCCCTTAATAAACTGAAGGGAACGATACTCTGACTATTAAGGGATTCTATAGTTACAGTAAATGTGATTTGAAAGGACCTTGGACTTAAAAACTCATTTTTTAGCATGTTTTCTGAGTCTCTCCAGTAACTTTTTTTAACCAGAGATTTTAAGGCTTTTTAAATTATTCGAGTTGCTGAATATAAAGAAGTGTCAAGGGTATCACCTCAAATGTTCAGAAACAAGAAGACGAACAAAAAAGAGCCAACAAAATCCACAAAAAGGCTCACAATTTGGAGAAGACTACAAAAATAATTGCCTTTGTCTGAGAAAACCGGGCAGAGGCCACGGATCGAGGTCAACCGATTCCTTTCATCTTTCGGCTGTTTTCAACCTTCATTGAGACAGGATGAATGGCGGTATTCTTAAACTTCATCAGCTTTTAGTTTCCGAGATCAGACCACCCCCCCTAAAAACCAGCCGACAGCAACTGAAAATACGTGTAATTTAGATGCTTAACTTCGGCAACGCGTAAAATTTTTTCTCGCGCTGCAAATACCCTCAACTTCAGGATACTATTATTTCGATAGACCTGCTATCATTCTAGGTCATCAACGGCCACTTCCAACCATTTATCAATGTCTTAAAGGCAAAATAATTTGCACAAAGAAAAATTTTGAAATATTATTTGCTTGATGAACCACTTTTTCAAAAATCGTTTTCTCAAAAAGGCGGCAGTTTGTGAGGAAATGAAATACTTCTTTGTACTCATTATTACCCTAACTATACATGTAAAAAAACCGAAGTTTGGGACCTGGTAAATTAGAGGCGCTGCCAGCGATAGTTTGAGGTCCACTTTATCACCGATGCGGGCGATATGTCACGTCACGGCCAGTTTGTCACGCACGGTTTGATCGCACATAACTAACATTACTCAAACAAATGTTAACTCCTCGATTGTTTATGGGTCAGAAAAGTAAAAACGTTGACCATTTATCTCTATTCATACAAAAAGGAATTTAAAAAATAACAACAACAACAATAAACGCATAATGCGAGCGAATTGTGGAACCCGTTTCTAGCAGAAGTGAATGATGCCGGTATCAAATTGCATAATTCTTGATATTGAACAAAAAGACCGCCATGAACTCGGTACATGTTCCGTCGTATACAAGCCCTTTACATGTACTTATTCTTATCAGCTACTGAAACGAAGGATAAGTGCCTAGAATAAAAAACTATTTCGCAAAGACATACCCTCTTAACCATGACCAAATTAAGACATGGTAGCCATGGCCGAGATACCTGGAAGAGCAAGGCAAGCCAATTTCCCACATGGAAACCATGGATAAAGAGGGAGACTCAGAATGAACAACTAATGATTGGTGTAAAGAAATCCACATTTTTTCGCTGCCGAACACTTGGATAATAAATAAAAAACTTTTTCCCAGAAAAGCAGGCGCATGAGGAGTTTATCGGAGATTTTGACGCACGTAGGTTACGAATTTAATGGTTTTGAGCTAAAACATAAGAATCAATTGGCGGGATAAGCTAGCTAGGGATATCCAAGTTCACACCGCTCAATCCCACAGATGGTGATTGGTTTATTCGCAACCAATTAAACCAGCCTTAGCAAACCGCGGCGTTTTAACAGGGCTCCAGAGGTTAAAAAACACCTTCCTTGTTGTAATTTTCATGTGAGTTGGATTGACCTAGCTAGCAGGTGAACGTAGGGGTCTACCGGGCAGACTCTGCCACGCTGTTTTGCCTAGTGATTTCGTTATCCACAGTTTTGCCTTCATCTATGGTCAGTAAAAAAAATGGAAAACAGTCGTGCCTGCTTCTAATAACAAGCCATAACTTACCCTCATTTAAGTCAAAAGGTTATAAAAAACGGGTTAGAAGGTCTTGGTTAACCATACGCCCCTAATTAGCCTAAATATTCAGTAGAGCTAATTGCGTATGACCTTGAAAATGGTTTCAGTAAGTGTTCGTTATTTGTTTTATAGGCCAATGGATGAAAAGATCAAAACATGGACTATTCGTTTTCCCGCCAAAGAAAACCCAATAAAAGGGAAGAAAGCATTGTTTGATTGGCCAATCTTGTTGCAGTATGACATCAAAGCGAAGTATCCCATTGATTTCTAAAAGTTCTCGGGCATAAACTTTTTTACCCGAGCGTTCGCTTAACCAACCAAAAGTCACGTGCGTTTGTATCCGTTCGATAAACCAATCAAACCGCTTTATTTCTGTTCCTTTGTTGTTTTCATTTCAAGGTTATACGAAAATCGCTCTACTGAATAATTAGGCTAATTAGGCGCGTATGTAAATAAATATATTTAAATAAATTTACATAAATTTGTAACGATTGTTAAGGTGTCCTTAATACACACTCTTAACTACTATATACAATGTCAAAATGCCGTAATAGCAATCGTAAAAAATTGCGTCACCACTAATTTGGTCTCTGACTGAGTCATCTAGGCTTCTCTCATACGACTGTTTTAAGTTAATCGACCCCGATACAGTCGATGTCTTACTACAAATTGCTACATGAACAACAATTAACTAACTCCTCAATGGCGTTTATGAAGGTAACTTTTCTTTGCTGATTTCCAGTGGTCGTCAAAGAAAGATTTGTACAGATGTTCTTTAGGTCTACAACTTTGAGATTTTTAAGCTTTCTCTCTTTTGCCATCAAGCAAATATTGTGGCCTTCAGAATAAACTGGGTGTTGAAGATCCACTGCACTGTACACTTCCTTCCGTATACTCTCTGCTTCTAAGCGACCTTCCCAGCTCCTAAGATCCTCTTCATCGACATTTTCTTCATCACGTAATGTTACTGCAGTGACATGACTGCTTTTCTTTAATGCTGACAGTCGTGAAAAAAAGCTGCTTATTTGCCGTGCAGTTTCCAGTCCTCTGGCAAAAATACAGGTGAACCATTCGAGTCCTTAGGTTCCTGCATCTCCTTTGCGACTTCTGACGGATTTGCCTTCTGGCCACTGAGGCCCTCATTGAATTTTGCAATCAAAAAACTTTTAACGTTCTCGGAGTTCTTAGTAGCAGTTTTTTGACCTTTTAGTGCCCAACCCTGCGAAGTGGGAGCTTCATTTCCGTTTTTTGTACCAAGTGCTCGGGTTGATGTAGTTGGCACGCTCAGAGTCGTCCGGGAAGCTATTTCGGTAACATGCTGCGCCCATTTTCTTCGCACACTGTCGTAAAGTGTTTCGCGTTCCAAAACAAGCTTATGAACTCCAGTGTCCATATGATTTTGTGCTTCGTTTTCAAACGTTACCACGCAGCCTGGTGTCTCGCAGAAAAAGACCTGATTTTTGGCGGATCGCTCTTTATAAGTGGGCCTCGTGTTGAAAATGCCTTGGGCCTGGGGAATTGCCCCAAAAGGTTGTAACAACTTCAATCCAGTCTTCCCCTGTGATTTCATTCCTTCACACGACACCAGTTTTCCGGGACCAATTTGGTATGCACTCCAACTGCGAACTCCCTCTTCTGTAAACTCAAAATTGTTGAGCTTACTAATTCCTTTGATTTTGTTTGTCCCACCAGTTTCATTAGCTAAGTTAACAGCGGCAACAGCTACTCTCCTCCCTTTGACACCTCCATGAGACTCAAGAGCTTCCTTCATTTTTGCAGCAGTTGCCACATCGTGCTTCTCGTTCACATATCGTCTAATGTGGGCTTTCATCGGAGCTATTTTTCAGTCACATATGTCTTTCCCTGCTTGTGGTTCTGAAAAATCGTATCTACGGATACGTATCCCAGTTCTTGAACCAATGGCTGGAAGAGCAAGCAACAAGGCTGGGTTGTGATAGCATGCGCCATTGTCTGAGCGAAGAAACACTTCTGAAATGAATGGCTTCTCTCTCTTAAGAATCTCTAAAAGATTCTCCACGATGGATGCGACAGCAAACCAGTCTTGTTTGCATTCTTCAAATAAATGAGAAAAACACTGCACTGAATAGCTGTCCTCCTCTTTCTCAATTACACAGCTTACGTGCCAGCTCTTACCTCTCTTTCCAAAGAAATCCCTCATTTGTTCTCTGTAGTACAGAGGTAAATATTTCATGGCCCAGTCCATGACGATAAGGCAGCTACCACCGTCAAGCGCACTCAACACATCTTGTTTGGCAAGATCTTGGTTAACAGCGCGCAGACTATGCGCTTTCCATGCGCATATGGCTTCTTGTGCTTTACCGTGCTCAAACTGAAACTTTCGTTTAGTTAAAAAATCACCATCTTCGTTGAATGCACCCTCTATTTCAGCGCCAATCTGTTTAATGACCACGACAGGCGTCACAGCGGATGTCGTGAACATGACTACACGTGCCCTTAAATGGAGGATCATTGGGGTCACTCAGTGCATACATTGTACAATGGTCTGCACACCTCTCATCCTTGCTCACATGCAACCTGAAGTCGGCTTTAAGGTATCTCTTTGCATCTGAGAGTTGCTGTTTGGCTTCTTTTTCCCAGTTGGAAGTTACGGCTTTAGCAGCTTTGAGAGTACTGACCATGTCTTCAAGTGAATCAAATGCTTGCACGCCGTCCGTGGTAATATATTCGAGGCCATGCAATGACTTCTGCATGGAAGCGGAGCAGACTTCTAAAATCCTGAAGAGAGTCCGTTCGCTTGCCGGATCAAAACCAATTTCTCTACAGTAAGCTTGATATTGTGCAATAATCCTTGACGGTATTAGGGTTCTTATCACTGCAGGTATTACAGCGTGTCCACCACTGTCTATTTTCAGTTTTCGGGTGCCGTATGCAACATCTTGTAAGAAGCAAGGTCTTGATATGTAGTCAACGAAATGATCCGTCTTCACGGGGTCTAAGCGTACGCGAAAAATAGGCTTATCATGAATGGGCTGGCCTTCGCCTACGTCAGTGGCATGGCAACGGGCTTGGTCAATCCGCCATTTCGATAGGCCTGAGATCATTTCTTGAAGCTCGGTTTTGCTAAAGTCATTTACAAAAAGGGAAAGAATCTGGCGCTTAGTTTGCCAGTTTTCAGCGTCGTTATGGGCAGATATAAGCGTTTGTACAAGGCCAGTGTCTATTCGTTTTCTTTTCGCTGGTGGTTCCTCACTTACATCTGCAATTTCCCTTTCCTCTCGCAAACAGTTCCACATGTACTCTTCTTGCCCAGGAACAACAACAGATAATGCTGCTTGAATAACCTCCTTCATTTTGCGCTGGTAATATTTTTGCTGTGTGACTGACACATCATCCCATGAAGTGTTTAGTGTTGATGCAATAGGGCTGTAACGACCTTCAGTAAGCTTTGCAACGGCATTGTTAGCGTTTCTCTCTTCTCGTGTTGCAATTCTTTTTCATCAATCCACAAGCTTGTTTCTGCCTCGTCCTCCGTTTCAATCACTGAATCCATGGCTGAAATGTCAACTTCACTTTCATATGCTGAAGTAGAGCTGATATTTGGTAGCTCGGGGGACTCATTAGCAGAAGTCATTAACGCTGACGGCTCTTGATCCTGAATGACAAGAGGGCTCTCCTAACATCACGAGAAAATAATAAACAATTATTCGATTCGGTTTTTGTGATATATCCGTAATAATCAAGATCGAGGAAAGTGTCATCAATCAACTGAGCCGAAGGGCGAGGTTGATAACACTTACCGAAACCTTGATTATTTCGGATATCACAAAAACCGAATCTAATTATTGTTTTACCTGTTTTATTATACATTGCTTTGAAGAAACGACAAACATGCAATCGTACAGAAACACACGTCGCTATCTAGTTGGAAATCATACATTGCGCGCCCAACCTACAGAGTAGCCAGTAATCTGCTGGCATATAACTGAGTAACCTGGCCAATGAAACGACAGAACGCGAGTACAATGTATAATAAAAATAATTATTATATATTGTACTCACAGTGCGCCTTCGCGAGGCTGATCGTTGGTAATTAACACAAAATTGTTTTCGCCAACTTACTAAGAGTATACAGCTATTTCCAGAAAGGTTGTCGGAAAAAGTGCACGCGACAATCCCCAAAGTATAGTTGTGGGTGGTTTTGAGTTTACTGTTCTTTAAAGAAATTTTGAAAGAATGGCACGAGAGAGGCCATGGACGTATGTTTGCGAGTGCTAAAGGAAAGCAACAAAAGTAGGTTCGACAGCTACAGTGTCAGGATCAGTGTATTGATAATATTCCAAACCTTTCAGGATTGTCGCGTGCACATTTTTTCCGACAACCTTTCTCGAAATAGCTGTTAACAAGAGAGGATAAAGGGGACAGAGAAGGCGTCCCCCATACATACCCTATTCCATAGGTAATTCGTCTCGAGTTATTTTTAGAATCGGGATAAAGTTACCTCGCGGGCTGCGTGGATGTTTCGTGGAGGTTTCGCGTGAAGGACGCGTGCCTCTAAGCGTGGGTGATCAACGCGGAACACATTCGCGCTATGTGATTGGCTGTTGTCTAATCCCCCTTGAGATCTGTGGTGTTAAAAATAACTCGAGACGAATTACCTAAGGAATAGGGTGTGTATGGGGAATGCCTTCTCTGTCCCCTTTATCCTCTCTTGCTGTTAAGTCTTCATTAATTCAAAACATAGTCCCCGCAAAGCACCCCCGCAAAATTTAGCATCCACGAGAAAAATTTAGTGCCACACAGTAACCACTATGCGTTTTATTTATGTGTTTTAGTTATATGTGTCATTCGCTTTTCAGATTTAACTGTAATGTAAAATTGCTAGTCAGGGTAGTATGAACTTACCACTACAGTTGTCTCAAGTTGCTTTGCTTGTCGTATCTGGTAGTGTCTTTTTCTGCACTTTGTACATATAACTAACGAGGCCAAGGCAAAATAAATTAATAGATAAATAAATAACGTGTCCTGATTTTGCTTTCTCTCACAAAAAATGCTTGGGTGGAAAAATAAGGAACATTCACTCCTTTCTCACTCTTTACACAGTCGAGATGGAAATAAACTAGGGTTTCTACTCAAGATACCAAAAAAATAAGATCCTTTCTGTAGAATCACAGGCTACCCAAGCTCAGTTATGATAACTGTAAGTCACTGATAATGTTCTCCGGCAAGAGGTGTTCTATCAATGCATGTACTAATGTTTTCTCATACCTGCTCCAAGTGGAACTGAATGGTTTTCCAAGAAATATATGCTTCTCGACATTTCCAGGTTGACGCGTCGAGCATTATTCTGCTTCGTGCGCTTTCCCAGATGATCAGGATGAAAACATGTCAATCGCTTTCTACCCGGCCATCCATTTGTCAAGAGATATCTATGCCGTGGGCACACAGTCAATTCGTCTACCTGTTTTTGGCTGGGCGCGATCAAACCGCCACGGTTAAAAAGGACTTCAGCTTCGCCAATTTGCGTATTTCCACTTTGCGTTTTTCCACTTACACCGAGTGCGGACAGATGGTCAAATATATTATTCGCACACGACTTTACTGGAACGATAGTAATATCCTCTTTTCCCGGTGCAGGTCCACAATGTGAATCTTCGGAAAAAAAGGAGCAACTCATTTTGAAGATGCTTTCGTTTTTAACGTCGACAGAAAGTGATGAATGTTTTCCGAAGCGTGTGTGAAAATTTTGTAATTAGGATGACTGACAGGTGAAATCCCAAAAAGTAAAGAAAACTTATTCAAGTTTCTCTAAAAGAGAGCCCCATAAAAATTAATATATTAAAGTTTTTGTCAGTTGAATTCAGCCGTCATTCTAATAGCCAAGTTTATATCGAAAATTCCCCGAAAGACGTTTTTTACTTTTTATTATTTTTTCCCGAAGAATCTGCGGACTGTAAAACTGGCGTTGTGCCATCGCGCAAATGTAAACAAAACGGAAACAGTTTTCAAAGAAAGAATGCTGATATTGGACGGATAGCCTTATTTTATAAACTTTCTTTTTCAATAAGAAGCCGAATTTTGTATTTTGTAATGTACCGAATTTCTCAGTAAGATTTATCTAAGTCTCGATCAATTTAGAATGCGTGACAAACTTTCCGTGACATGACCTTTCGCCCGATATTGGCGATAAAATGGACTTTTAACTCTCGTTAACACCGTTTGTAATTTACCAGGTTCCAGACTTCCGTTTTTTTACATGTATAGTAGGGGTAATAGTGAGTACAAAGAAGTATTTCATTTCCTCACAAACTGCCGCCTTTGTGAGAAAACGATTTTTGAAAAAGTGGTTCATCAAGCAAATAATATTTCAAAATTTTTCTATGTGCAAATTATTTTGGCTTTAAGACATTGATAAATGGTTGGAAGTGGCCGTTGATGACCTAGAATGATAGCAGGTCTATCGAAATAATAGTATCCTGAAGTTGGAGGTATTTGCAGCGCGAGAAAAAATTTTACGCGTTGCCGAAGTTAAGCATCTAAATTACACGTATTTTCAGTTGCTGTCGGCTGGTTTTTAGCGGGGGTGGTCTGATCTCGGAAACTAAAAGCTGATGAAGTTTAAGAATACCGCCATTCATCCTGTCTCAATGAAGGTTGAAAACAGCCGAAAGATGAAAGGAATCGGTTGACCTCGATCCGTGGCCTCTGCCCGGTTTTCTCAGACAACGTGTTAAAAAACGTACACTGCAAGATTCCTGTATGTTTTACCACCGATAAATTTTATCATTTGTGGAGAACCAATGAGTCACCAATCTTTTAGCGTGTTTATATTTATGAGAATGTTAGATTGATTTTAAAAGTGATGCTTTTTAAACTTTGCCGCGAGATTTACGTCTCAGTCCGTGAATTCACGTTTCACCGTATCCCGTGCCCGGTATATAGTATCCGTTGTGACAGGTTCTACTTTTAGCCGCCAGCAAGGAAACGACACAAATATGTTTTTTCTGTTCCACACCTTAATAAATTGAAATTGGAATAGGCAAAACTGACTTTTTACAGGCTATATTTGTTAATCAAAAGATAAATGATTTTAACTTACCAACAAACTGATGCAAACCACAGATCTGGTAGTCTCCCTTCAATGCAAAAAGCTATGAAATATCAAAGCACCTGCTTAACTATTTGTTATCTTAACAGCGCAATGTATGTGGTGGCTTGAACATTTCATTTCCCCCAGCTGGATGAATTATTTTATGCAAATCTAGTATAAATTATGGAGCTTATTTGTAAATAATGAAATAAGAATTAAAAATCGAAAACCCTCCAAACGCTCTTAACTTTTTATTACTTGTTGAGCTGAGTTATTCCCTTATGCTTATTTCTTACATTGTTCTCAGCAAAATAGAAAAATCCTTGATTGGTATGGTACAAGTAAAGTTTTCTTCCAAAAAAATTTAAATGTGAAAAAAGAAGTTACGACCAAAAAAAAAAATGGAAACGACCTTTTAAATGCCTGGTTCCTTCTGAGAGGTAAAATTACGATACGATTTAATTTATTTGTACAAAGTTAGATTTTCTCATTGAAAGACATGATAACAATAAAAAAAAACTAATGCATAGAGGTTCCATTATTTTTAAGACTACTGGGTGAACAGTGAAAATGCATACAACACCTGACCGCTTGGTATGAAAATATACTTAAATTATAATGTACGAAAACATCAATGTAGTGACTATTTAATTGATTGTTTTATTATGTATGAAGAGGGCTTACCTTGTAACAACCGGTTTTGCCCATATGTTATTACACCTTGACCTGCGTGGTATTTGAAAATTTTTTTTTCTAATTGACCACAATGTACATGTACCAAGTTTCATTTATGACCGTCAGTTTAAAGCTGGAACGGTGGGAAGCATAAAAACAGCAGTGCGAAGTCGTTTGTTCCAAAACAACTCAATTTACCTCCCCAGAACTAATTGTCAGAGAAATTTAAATTACATAAGCATCGCGTGTAGTAGACATTTTTAAATTGGTTTTCAAAATTAAGCGCTCTTTCTCTGTTGGATTTTACCTAGTAGTATGAGATGATTGTGTAGCAAATATAGTACCCAGTCAGAGGGCATTATTGAGGTCATGTGATTATTTTTTATTTTATTTCTATTAACTTTGCAAACAACAAGATAATTGACACAGAAAAAAAAGTGTACATGTATTCGCAGGACTGAGTACAGGCGGGGACACCGCAACAGCGAGCGCCAATTACTGCGGGCTCAAGACAGATCGATAAATGTAAAAGCTAACAATACTATCTATAAACAACAAACGATGTTCCGCCCTAAATTATGGGCAGCGTTACAGGTCAAGCATATAGATTTGAAAGACCGAGGGTCATCAGGGAAGTAGGAAGCGACAAGAGCTTGTTCGTTAAAACCGTAAAGGACAGCTTTATAAGAACTTTAAGAGCAAGCAACAGATAGTCCAAGGTCTGCAGCAAGAGCATTCTATATTCTACTAGTTCTGTTAAAAACCGATCTTTGAAAGATTATTGTTTTGCAGTGCCTGATTAAAAATAAAGTGATCACGATCCGGATTGCTAGTGTATCTAGTGATTCTTGTTGGAGCGCGAATCCGAGGGGAAACAGCTGGATTAATTTCGACACGCCCAGTTACGGCCTTAAAGAAGAATAGGCCATGTCAAGATATTGGGAAGGAATTCTTTCGCCCAGACATCTTTCAGCTTTTGTAAAGTTAAACTCACTGTGAATATTTCACTTCCAGTCTAGTCCACATTTGAAAGGCTACTTTTTTAAAGTAAATGATAAATGAATTTAACTTACCAACAGAAATAGAACCAGTGATCTCGGGAAGCCAGTCTCCCTTCAACGCAACGAGGCTGTGAAATATCAAACCATTTGCTAAACTATTTATTAGCTTTACAGTATGCGGTAGCTTGAACATAACAAATGAGTAAAAAAAATTCATTTTCCTCTGGATAAATATTGTTGTATGCAAAATCCACTGATGGGGGAAATAATAATCAAAAATCGAAAATCCCTTGTTCCCTTACTTGTTGAGCTGAATTATTCAATTACGCTAATTTTCTATACTATTCTCATCCATATAATAAGGTCGTAGTTTGGGATATTACAAGAAAAATATTCTTCAAAAAAATTAAAAAAAATTAAAAAAAAAAACAAAAAAGAGTTATGAGCTTTTAAAAACCTATGCCTCCTCTAAGAAGTAAATGTTGATCACGTGTGCGAATCACACATTAATTAAAGTACAAACTGTTAGATGGTAATTAGGTAGTTTTAACTTACGCTTATCTCGGTTAAGCATGTTAAGCTAGCTTTTGTCATGAAACGAAATGAAAACAATGAAAACAAAAGATTTTCAGTTATGTCTTACACTATTGGATGAATATTAAAAATGTTTAAAACATCTGGGTGAGAAGACTTACAGGGCTTGCACTGTAACTATCCTGGAGAGCTCCATACAATTCCTGAGAACAGACTTCTATTCTAAGGAATTGTATGGAGCTCTCCAGCATACTTAGGTGCGGGACGTTGTCACTTATGATCCGCGCAAGGTGTTTTCCTGACAGTCTTCCGTTAGCAAAATGTCATCATTTAAAACGAAAACCAGAAACGATCGGCAAAAATAAAAGGCCGGCCTTTGTTCGTTCGTTCGTCCGTTTGTTTACTACAGGTCAGTTGTGTTTCGATCTGGTCGGGTGAGGGCGCTGACAGAAGGTAATAAGTTCTATATATACGTACTTGGGAATGTTGGAGGTGGACAGTTTAAGACGTATAAGACACCATGAAATGAACTGAGGTAATCACACAAAAAAATATCTTTAAGCACATCAGAGAAACCCTCAAGTCCAAGATAGGAACATATTCTCCATTTTAGGCGTCTAAGGAGAAGGATTTATTTCAAGTTTTGTCTAAAGCTTGGCCGCTGACCTTTGCAACAGTTATGGATACAACAGAGAAGACGCGACATTGGAGCCGAGGACAAAAAAGACGCGTTTTATTCTTTCTTTATTGCTGTAGTGCAGGATGAACTGTGCCTCTGCGGAAGACATAATTATGCAGCGCACTGTGCAGTTAAACATAATCACGTCATGTAAAAACTAAGATTTCTTTTGGAATTCAGTAAAGATTTATTTTCGCTTAGTGTGTTAGATTAGCCTTAATTAATCTTACGTAAATGTTGAAAACAATCGAGTCTTTAGTCAGGTAAATGTTACAGCCTTCTTAAGTTATAGCCTCTAGAATTCCCAAAATTGAAAATCACACTCACAAATAGTCGAAATTTGCGACAGGAAATACTGACTGCTGTTTGATGACGTCACGGCAACTATGGCCGGTTGAGAAGTTTGTCGAAAGGAATTATCTTTGGTCTGTAGACGCTAATTGCTGTAGCCTTCCAGGCTTTTGTTTTGCGAGGGAGGGTGTAAACAAGAAAACGCATCGACCTGAGAGAAGGCTTGCAAATTAAGGAGTTCAAACAGACTTGACTTTTTGACTAGCTGATAAAGGGATTTTTCTTGTGGAATGTTTCATAAGACTTTTTGGGAACAGGAACCTTTTTTTATGAATCTTAAGGTTTTCAGAATGTCTTGGAAATTCATGGGGAATGTCTAGTAACAATAAATATCAGCTGCTTTTTTACATTCGTGGATAAGACGTCGGCCATTTTAAGAGGTTAGCTCAGTTAAGGTGTTGAAATATTGCTCACTACATCTTCTTATTGGATAAAGCTACCGACCTAATGCCTAATAGTCATGTTCTAAGAACAACCATCAATACGTGGGTTGTTGAATTAACAGTTCGTTGTCAGCCTTGAACTATAGCTTCCCGTCACTGTAATGAAGTGACTGGTGGGATGTTGGTACGTTTGCACAATTTGGCTGCCATTACACTGCACAGGAACTCGATAAACTCACAGAGTGTCAGAACGCTGCAGCCAAGGAACAAACCCATGTTACCTCCAATCTCACCTGGGATACAACATGCAACGAAAAGAAAAACGAAAACAAACAAAAAATATCGAAAAATTAGTTGGCTAGACCATGATAAACTGGAACTGTCGTTATATGTCTTATATTATCTTTCTAAAGGAACATTCAACCAAAACGTATTTTCAGGTAGAACCTCATGTGCGCGATGCTTATTTTACTTTACGTTTACCACGAAGGTAAAGGAAGGAAAGGAAAGGAAAATAAAAATTAAAGACAAGGATAGAATTGAACCACAACATGTACATGCATGGACAAATCTTAATAAAGCATAGAATCTTCAAGGTAAACCTTGTTGAATTCCTTTTCTGGTTTGGTAACAAATAGTTTAGCCTGTTTTTACAGCGTACCTCACCCCATGGCCCCTGCTAAGCTACACACGGCCGCCTGCCCTCCCTGGCTGAATTCCGACAGGTTACTTCATATTTCCATCTCAGTGTTGCAACTTACCAAACATAGCAAAAACGTCGTACACTAACTTCTCCTCCTGCAATTCATAACTTAATGACTTAAAGCCAACTGTTACGTAAACAAAATCCTGGCTAAGAAAACAAAATACACAGTCAGTATTACAGCAAGGAAATCTGAAGGACATGATTCACCTTTACCAACTTTTCTTTTTTTATAACGCCTGCAAAATTCAAATACAAAACCTCAAAGATGTAAAATTTCTTTTCCTTTTCTTTTTTTAAACGGCAGATACTACACGGACGCATTGTGCAGCTAAAATTTGTTTTACAAACATGGGAGCTTATTTGATAAGGGGGACTTAATCAATTAACCGAAATAGGGGACCATACTACTTTTTCAAACAAACAGACGATGGTATCAATTCTCCATAAACAAAGACGAAATCAAGTGGAAATGCTCAGGGAGATGACGTTAGAGGTCTTGGAGCTAAAGATCCTAACTTCCAGATATGAATAACCCACACTGGATCAGTCCATTTTATATTAATTTGGTAGTGAGGAACAGGGAGGGAGAGGAGAAGGGGGCTTAATAACGTTCTTCCCCTGATCGAGAGGGGGGGGGGGCGCTTTTTAAAAAAGGTGAGCTTATTTGGAAGGGGCCTTAATAGAGGAGGTATTACTCTACCTATCCTGGTTGACATCACTGAACCAATTACTGACTGGATCAGAGATTGTCTTGTCATGATCAAGGAGTTTGGAGAAAGATATTTCCGCCTTGTATTTTGTCTGATTACAAGAGAGTGGACAGTCACATTTCACTGTGTCTACAGAATAATAAAAGAAAGCAGCAATGTTAGAAAAGTACAGTCTCTCACTGAGTAAAAACCTTTGAATGCCTTGGTGCACACACAACACATGAATGAAACTGTCTCCTTAGTTCGTTAGTAAGAGGCCGAGCGTCGCGCGTTAATGGGTGGATCGGCGTATCACTTAGTGATTGCTGTTTGGTTTAGTTAATCAGTTGACTAAACATTTTATTGAGGTGAAGCTTATTTACAATGTACATGTGTCATAAATGAGTGAAATTTCATGTTGTGGATCAATTATGTTGGTTTAGTCAATCATTATGACCCTCAATTGCCATACCAAAAAACAAAGGAAAATAAATTTTAAACCAACAAAGATAACTTTAAAGTTATTTCTCGTCATCAACCTTTAAGACCATGAAGACAATCTACATGTTTCTGTTGGCAAACTTCAATGCTGGATCCTGAATTAAAAGAAAGCAACAAGTTGGTTAAGTCAGTTTAGTCCTAATTAGTTTTTGCTTAATTTAGTTAGTTTATTTTTTAAAAAGAGATTGCAGCAGATAGGGGAGAACGATATGAACGGCCTATTGCAAATGGAATAATTCGCTGGAACAGCAAACACGCCACTGGCAAACTCTGGCCTTTATTAATGTTGTTGTTGTTGTTATTATTATTATTATTATTATTATTATTATTATTATTATTATTATTATTATTATTATTATTATTATTATTATTATCAGTTAAAAATGATGAAACATTTTGCAACACGGTTAACATATAGAATTATTTAGAATTAGACAAGCCTAAAAGCGGAGCCCCTTATAAACATTTCGGCAAACTGCTAATAAACTTTAAATCATTGCATTTCAGACATGAATTTTATTGATTTCCGATAGCGATTATCAGTGATTGCCAGCTCTTGAATAACAGTAATGACATCAGGTCTGTTGATTCTTTATCCCTTAAAAATACAGGTCTGTTGATTCTTTATCCCTTAAAAATACATTTGCGTCAATTTTTAGGTGCGAACTTACAGGTAATTCTGATGATTTTGATTGCCGTGAATTTTTGATTGGACATTCCGCCATTATTTCGATGGTCGATTGTTGCAATGAAAGTGAAAGAGACGTCATGTCTTCGAGAAATTGATTTTTTTAAAAAAAAAAAACCAAACTTACTAACCACACAGAAATGCGATATAGAATCAGATGATTGAAATTAAAGCTGATTTTAATACTGTTTCCCGTTTTTCTGTAGCCATACACCACAATTTTGATCTTGTCAGCTCGCGATTTTCCACCGGAACATAAAACAGTAATAGTGGATCCGGCAAGACCAACCAAAAAAGCAAAACCTGTCATTCAACGTATTTTCTTTGACGAACATACACTTATAATGTACCCTGGAGAAGAATTTATATTTTTATCAAAGTAAGAGTGATAGTTTCAAAAGACACAGGATCGGAACATTTACAACATAAAGTAAAACATTAAAAGAAATTGGGTGGGGACTGCTGATATATACCAGTGATACCCGCCGGACGACAGCCACAGTATTCCATATAACGTTTAGCGTAACACTCCTCCAGGCAACCGTCTGTAGTATATCGAGAAAAACTTTTCAATTTCATTGTCTTGCACTTCTTGCCATATCTATCAAGATGCTTGAACTTTGAATGAAAAAGAAAATCATGATATCATCAACATCATCATCATCACCGTCATCATCATTATCAGAAGCTGCGACATTTATTTCTCTTTACAAACAAAAACTTGAAAGGTCATCGTCATTATTCCTTTTTTTGCCGAAAGAGAACTTTAATACCATTTTCATAAACTTTAAGGAGTTGGTTAAAAATAGCTTAATAAAAGGAATGATATAAACTGAGGTGTAAGAAAGTAAAAATAGCTAGTACCAGTTACCAACGAATAATCAGAACTTCTAAACGTAGGCTCAACCTTTTCAAGCAATTCAAGTTAAGGAGGGACGGTCACTGCATCCTAACCTTTCTAAGTCAACTTTGTCAACATTTTCAAATAAACAGCATTTGGACGTGTGAGAAACGAAATCTCCGAAACGAAAATTTGCCTCTAGGTTAAAGTGATACCACTTTTTCTTATTTTGTTAAATCTCCTGAAGGCAAAGAACATTAAATCAAGAAAGACATAAACCAAACCTACTCTTTGCTCTGAAAGCGAAATGGTAGCATATGTCCCTGGCATTACACTAAATGCATCATCAAAGGCATTGAAGCTTTCTCCCTGGGCATGGATCGATATGGAGAACCCTTGTGCTATCTTGTTGCCAAGCGTGTAATCTGACTGACTCACATTCAGCATTATTGCCAGTCCCCTGCTCACTCCACCCCTATAGGAAACTTTGGATCGATTGTTTTTGCCAGAATTAAAAGTATGGCATATTCCATATTGTGTCACTTCGGTTTCAAAATCTGAGTGATTGCAGTTTTCACTCCATTGGAAGAGGCATCCAAAATAATGAGATAGCATTTCTGCTGAATCCGGGCTGAAGACTGTGAAGAACTGTTCCATGTTGAAAAGAACCCCAGATTCTTCAAGTGCTTTTTGCAATGCACTCCTTCTCTGTTTAGTGCAGTTGGGGTAATAAATTGGATTTGTTTTATAACCAAAAAAGGCACAGCAGCAGATCATTGCTAATCCACAAGACATGTTTTTCATCTCCCTCTGACGTAACTCCCTAGTAACCTCGCATGCGCTCATATTTAGGCCTTGGGCTGCAAAAAAGGGATCGTCGTCCCGCATCATAATTTTTCTTCTGCTGAATAAATTGTCAGGACAAATACTCACTGCCGGAAACGACATACTCTGTTCGTAATTCTTGGTTATCGAGGTGACAGTATGATATTGAAGGTATTTGTTCACTGCCTTATAAAAGGTGTAAATAAAATATGCGCCAAAGGTCAGCATTACAACAGACCAAACCACTCGGGAGACTTTTGGTCTTTGCGATGGTAAAACATTCCTTATACCATGCAAAGTGGTATTTTCAATAAATGCTGTCCATTTTTGTGAAAGGCTGCGATGATGTTTCCTTTCTTCCTCTTCCTCTAATTTCTTATCATTCATCTTCGGATTTTTTACGCTCTGAGCTATCTCAGGAGGCAGTGCATTCTCTTGCCCAGTGCCCGAGTTTGTGACATTTAAAGCACCTCGCGCGGTCCACGTAAGCATCTCTACCGCCTGAAAACAGATGAAATAAAAGCAGAATTAAAAGCAGATAAAATGAAAAAGCACCCGTAGAAACCTGAGAAAAGGGAGGGTGGGTGGTGCCAGATCTTAAGCGTCCGAAGCAGAAAACAGCTCTAAAATTGCTAAGGTCGCAAGCGAGAGAGAGAGAACAAACTGAAAACAGCATCTTAAATAGGTAAAAAAAAACCAATCGGAAGCTACGATAAACGCACTGGGACACCTAAAGGCGACAAACTGTAAGAAAGAATGTGAAGCTAAAATAACCTTGGAAAATATATTTACTTATGATGTTGGGCGCCGTCGTCTTGTAATTACCTTCACTGAACAGTAAACAATGCTTTTAATAGAATTCTCTAGATCAGAAGTTGATCCAAGCTCTCTAAGTAATGAAAATAAATATCACTACCTCGGGATACAAAGCAAATACAGGAAAGGCAAAGTAGACTGCAGAGCATGACGAGACTCATACGACTTCGAAATTCACCACGGGAGGAAGTTTCAATTTCCGGTGTCCTTGTAAAAACCTAATCTGTCATGACTTGTGTACTTTGCGTCACGTATAGAAGACGAGCTGAGACCAAACAACAGATGCTATTTGTATCACAATGCGGTCTCGCGCGAACTTTCAAAGCCGGCATGAAAGTGGCGCGTTCGCCGGGAAAAGCATCTTCAGTCTTTGGACCATCGCTTGCCAAACAAACACAATCTCGTACGCAGTATCAGTGACCAAATGGTTTTACCAACAGATATAATTCATGGCAAGTCAAAATTTTAAGCTTTTTGTGTAGAGATGATGTTTGGAAGTAGCAGGGCCGATTATTTATGGCTATTTATGACTTGGTCGATAGTACAGATAGTACTGGCGCTCGAGTCAACCCACACAGGTTTGGTTTTTCAAAGAGGAAAGATCATGTTGTTGTCGTTTCAACCTTAGCCCGAGTCTTTAATACGCAGATGGAATGCAGGCGAAAGCGGGTTTAAAGCGATCAAAGAAGGACTAAATTCCCTCCAACTACTAGAAATGATGATGATGATGATGATAAACTTTATTTCAGTGTCAGGTCTTCTAGCTGGCCATGTAAGGCCTACTAATAGGTAACCTGGGTGCCAGAGGCTTTCCATGCGCGGTTTCCGGTTTCGGTCAAATCTTAAAACGTGACCCGCTTCGCCGCTCGTCTCGTTGGCCTTCGGCCGAAGACGTGTCGGCCTACGGCTGACTAAGCTCCTCGTCAAATGCGGGAAGAAACGTCTGGTACCCAGGGTAACTAATAGGGGACACTAAATTAAAATACTATCAGCTCTAACTAATTACAAAAAAAAAATTTACAAAGAATAAAATTTACAAAAATATACATCCTAAAAAATATCGATAAAACGTATTCGGATTTATCATATAAAATAATACTTATTGAATAGGAGGTGTCCTTTTTGTCTAGAAAATGTCATTTATGCACAACATAGAAAGCAGTTTTTACAGTCCTCTGTGATTACTTTTTCAAGATCTACCTTACGAATTTTCTTTTTAAAGCCGTGTAAATTGATTCTGCGTTTTTTACATCCTTGCTTAATTTAGACCATATTACTGGACCCACATATCTTAGGCTGTCTCCCGTACGTTGTTGTGTTGTATCGAGGAATAAAAAAGTTCCCAGAATTTCTGAGCCCATAGCGAGGTTTATCGAGCTTAAAAATGTCTTGTACGGAGGGCATATATTGTACTTTGCCTTATACATAATTATGGCTATATCCTGCAATCGGCGACAGCCTAGTGTCGTGAGTTTAGCTTTTCTCAAGAGCTTATCGTATGAACTTCTCGTATCGCAGTAGACGGCTCTTAACGCCCGCTCTTGTACTCGCTCCATCTTTCTGGTATCCGACGCCCGACAGAAATGACAGGGTTAGGAGAAACGGATGTTTTCGCAGGCTATAAATTATAATACTCAGGCTGTATAAAAAGGTTTGACGCACAACAAAAACAAGTCATTTTCCGTTCTCGTTACTCGATTCATGTAATCAAAGTTTAAAATGATCGCTTTTAGGGGTCAAAAAAAAAAAGTTGGGCCACACCCAGATTGGTCTCCTTTAGGGTTTAATTCAAAATTTCCGACGAGCATCCCCCCCCCTTTCATATGGCAGTCCCCCCCAGGAATTAAAATTGCAGATGGAAATTGACAGGGGCACATAACAAGCACTGGAATATATTCTTCGATATTTTGACACATTCTCTCTTACTGAAAGCCACTTGAACTGGAAAAACGGTACCTCATATACGCTTCATCAAGTAATATTGGTGCAATCCCGAAGATATCGGGATCATTAGACAGTTTGCTGAGAAACAACAAACCCAGATAAACTGTATAACTTCCGGTTCACTGCAAGTTGGTCACGAGTCTAATCTAGACCGCAAAACAGTCCGTATTTTTGCGTATTCAAGTACGCGCGAGCAGTCGAGGCTCCCGCGCTTCGCGCGCGCAAGACTCTTACGCCACGCGTTACCGATTTCTTTACTGATTTTGAGAAAAAAGTCTAATACGAAAAATTCCTTCTTTTTCCAGCTCACGCGAACTTTTGGTGAGCATATTTCGATCAGTGACAACGTGCATTTACACAAAAAAATTGCCTAAATATAAAAAATTTAGGAAAAAAATTATATCCTTATTGTGATACTAAAATTCCGTAAACCTGAATAAAATTGAGCCAGGATACCTGAAAATCCAAAACCCCCGGCCATGCCTGTCCTTTAGAACTTCAAAATTACGTAACCAGAATGCCGACAAGATGTCACATTAAAATACTCTGCATGCAAACTACAAGACTCTCTGTAGGTGCATTTTTTAAAGACTATTTCATCCGTTCTTTGAAAACGTCTTAGTCGTACTAACTATTTTGGCCTCTTATTTGGGACATTCTAAGTTGACAGCACCCCACCAGGTTCCTAATCATAATTGTTGCACATGCAATTTCACTTCTTTAAACAACAAACTTGAAAAAAAGGAATCAAATTGTGCTCTAAACATTATGCTTTGCCAAGCCCGAGAAAACAATTCTCATGTGCAACAATCTACAATTAGCGACCTAGGGGTTAGTCGCGCAAAAAAAGCCTGGAGATTCAAGCGTCCTGTCGGCGCAAAACAAAGAACCCTTTTGAACCGAAAATTTGCTTGTATCAAGGTTTTAAGGTGCCGTAAACAATGCCGTAAACAATGACTCATTAACAATACAAATTCCTCGGTGTGATACGCATTTTCGGCAATTTAAGGAGGAAAAACTCATGCAATTAGGGTTTTTTTTCGGAGAGAGGCAGAAATTTCGTTTATCAAAAAGATTGTGGCCGCCGACGAGTTACGTAGCCACGTGACCATACCATTAGGTGACGAGTCACGCTATGATTTGATTGTGAAAATTAAAGAAAAGGTATAACTTCAGCCTGGGGGTGGGGGTGGGGGCTCCCATATGAAACAAACGGGGATGCTCGTCGGAAATTTTGAATTTAACCCCTAAAGGAGGCTATCTGGGCGTGGCTCAAGCTTTTTGTGACCCCTAAAGGAGACCAATCTGGGCGTGGCTTAAGCAAATTTTGACCCCTAAAAGAGACCGCTTACAAACACACTAATACGACATGCAATGAGTGTTAATGATTTTAAGACATAATCATCGAATGCTATTGTCTAAAGTAGTTTTCAAAAGCATTGTCATAAATCTCAAGTTTTTCGCGGAACCCTAAATAGTCCAGCTGTTATCGACCAAAAATATAGCGAATTGTTCACTTTTATGATAAGAGCATGAAACTTTGCCAGATTGCTACCAACCCTAAGACTAACATTTCTGGATATGGAGCCAAGCCAAATTTAACGCTGGACACGAGTTCTGCGCAGGCCCTAAAATGGCCTACATGAAAACGAGGCTGACAGTGGAAATGCTCCTAAAATACCGGTTTTTAAGTGTTTTGGTAAATGAAACTTGTAGATATCGTGGAAGAAGACATTTGTTTTGCTGTCATGTTATCTTTGGTGTCACGTGACCCTTTCCTCCAAATATGGCGAAGCCGTTGTTGGGTGTCCTGTGCTGGAGCTGTCTTCTGTGCATTTGGGCATTTTAAGGGTGAGAATGGGCACCGATTCACACCATTTTAAATGACAACACTCTTGCAACTATTTTCCAATTATCAAGGGTTGGATTTGTTTTCATACAAATGTCAATTACCACATGAAAACAAGGCAAGAATCTTTTAAACTGTTTGAAGAGCCTCCAGTTAGCACTGCGTGCGGTCATTTGGGGGTGAATTCAGATAACATTGCATAAAAGCTTGCACTGATCAAAAATTGTGATTGTATGGCACTCTGGCTGTTGTTTTCCATCTAAACGTAGAGCGCCGCTCAAAAACAAGGCAAAAATCCTTTTCATGATCTTAAAAGCTGGCCTCCAGTTTCTAGCCTCCACGTTCGGATAATACATTAAGCTATTAATATTCAAATGAACGAATGAATCGTTTAGGGAATTCTCCTTTCAATTATTAACAAAGTCAGTTACAAGGTTCAGTGCTGAATCCAGGAGGTGGCCCGGCTCAAATAGCTCTCCCCTCTTAATTTTGAAGAAATGCCAATTTGATCCTTTCAAGTTGAAATTAATATTACCGGTTGTTGCTTACATTAAATGCATGAGATAGAACAGTCTTTGAGGTAAAAATGAACAGGTCGTGCAGTAGCAAGCGATCGTGCCTCCCTATATCTCTATTATGTCTAAAAAATAGGTGATAGGATAGTCTTGTAGAGACCATTTTTGAAATACGCAATTTAAAGCTCCCAAATTGATATTCCTTTAAATTTTATATTAACACATGAAAATATAAACAAGATAATCAATCTGAATGTAATAAAAAAGGCCATGTTTCTCCCCGTTAAGGACAAGAAATTAAGCCTTTCAAACTCAGCTCCCCGACAGAACGTCGAGCGCTTTCACAAAAAAAGCAAAGTTGTTGCTAC